GGAGGGGGCTATGGCTGGCAGAGGTTGTGTAGCCCGGGGAGAGTCCCAAGGGCCAGACAGAGAGGGCCACATTTGGTTCCCAGGCCTAGAATTCCCTCCCATTGCCTTAGAAGACACCTGGCCTCTGGCCCTCCAGATGTTTCTGGACTGCAGCTTCCATCATGTCTGGCAATTAGCCATGCTGATGGGAGCTGGAGTCCAGGAACATCTGGAGGGCCACCAGTTCCCCACCCCTGGCTTAGAGGATGGTCCCAGAACCATCTTGATAGGAACACTGAAAGCCTATCAGCATCACCTCTGGCACTCCAGGTGTTGTGGACCACAACTCCTAACAGCTCCAGCCAGCTTGGCCAATGCTGATGGGCGATGGGAGCTGTGGCCCAATAACATCTGGAGGGCACTGACAGGCTGCAGACGTCCAGGGTCTCAGGCTAAGAGAAGGCCTTTCCAGCACTTCCTACATACCCGTTCTGAAATGGAGAGGCGTGGGAGAAAACCTGGGGCCTTTTGCGTTCAAGACGCATGATTTACAACTAGGCTGAGTACATCCCTTAAAAGTCCATTTGCTCCCTAGAGTTTAGGGTTTATAGACTAGAATTCTTAATTATTAATAGCGCATGTTGGGTGTGCTTATAAGATGCACTGCCCCATTCCCAAGAAGTGACGTGGGTGATCCTTAATAAAATCTGCTTTTAAAAACAAAACTAAAACAACTTTAAAGCGGCCAGGGGAAGTTTTGATTTGGTTCAGACCAAATCAGTACAGGGGGAGGGAATGATGAGTATACTCCAACCACTCCCCAAACTGTTGTTTTTCTTTTTGTTTTGGTGACACTGTTTTAAAACTGCTTTGAACAGTATTTTAAATTTCTGTAACCCACCCTGAGACCTTAGAGTTAGCGGCAGGTAACAAATTAAAATAACAGCAATAAAATCTGGAGGAACACAGGTTCCCCAACCACTGCTTTAAACTTTCATCACTGTGCGATTTTCTTAACTCGGACAGTTCCTCCAAAGATGCTGTTTGTTTTGCTTGAAGAAAGCAAAATATACACACAGACGTGCTCCAGATAATTGCAGGCACAGCTGACCTAATAACACTTTCAGTAGATGTGTGTGTGATTTAGATCAGGGAAATGGCCGGGGTGGGGGAATAGGGTTAAAACCCCCTGCCAGTGTTGCCAAAGCTCTGCTCAAGTAGCATTGAGCAAGTAGTTAGGCTATGTGGTGTAGTGGTCAGAGCGCTGTTCTAAGACTGGGGAGATCTGGGTTCAAATCCCCACGCAGGCATGAAATTCACTGGTCTGACGTCAGGCTAGTCACATTCTCTCAGGTTTACCTAACTCACAAGGCTGATGTGAAGCTAAAACGAGGAGAGGAATTATGCTTGCTACCCCTGAGGTGCTTGGGAGAATAAGAAGATTTGACACCATGCTTATGGGTCCAACAATCAGCAGGTTAGGCCTTGTTGTTGGTACCAGCACCAGGGACTGCCCGGTTGACAGGTTCTTTGGGGGAAGCCATGACCTGTGGCATGAGAGTATTTTAAATGTATGGATGCAAGCGCAGCCTCGGCCTCCATCTGCAATATGGGGAATCAGAATGCTAACTCCAGGATCTTCTGCTCTGTTCCACACAAAGTAGGAATTGAGCCTTTTGTGTGGTGGCCTCTATCCTTTGGAATTCCGTCCCCTTGACTATTAGGCAGGCACCCTCTCTCTTGCCTGGTTGGCCCCCACTGGAGACCTTCCTCTTCCAAGAAGCCTTTTGAATTGAAATCTTTTCCAGTTTGCACCTGGAATTGTTTTTAAGATGCTTTTTCACTTCTGGTTTGCTGCCCTGGGCTTCTTTGGGAGCCAGGGTGGGATATAAATTGAATAGATAAACAAACAAGCAAACAAACAAATTCAAGGGCAGATTCCAGCCAAGCAAAAATACTTAAGTGGGGTGCAAAGAAGGGGGAGGGCATGGCCTGGCAAGAGTCCCGAGGGTCACAAAAAGATGTTTGGGGGCAGTGGGGGGCTGCATCTGTTCCCTGGGCCTGAGGTCGTTCTAGGGGTAAAGGGGACCCCTGACCATTAGGTCCAGTCGTGACCGACTCTGGGGTTGCGACGCTCATCCCGCTTTACTGGCCAAGGGAGCCGGCGTACAGCTTCCGGGTCATGTGTCCAGCATGACTAAGCCGCTTCTGGCAAACCAGAGCAGCGCATGGAAACGCCGTTTACCTTCCGCCGGAGCAGTACCTATTCATCTACTTGCACTTTGACATGCTTTGAACTGCTAGGTTGGCAGGAGTAGGGACCGAGCAACGGGAGCTCACCCCGTTGCGGGGATTCGAACCGCCGACCTTCTGATTGGCAAGTCCTAGGCTCTGTGGTTTAACCCACAGCACCACCCGCGTCCCAGGAGGTTGTTCTACCCCTGTCTTAAAAGTTTGCTATGAGGATTACAACTAGCTAATGCTTTCAAAAAGCTTTGAGCAATTGAGAAGGATATGCAAAGATTAAATGTTATTAAAGTACATTCATGGTTAACATTGGACAAGAATTATGATTGCGACACAGCCCACAGGCAGCTGTGATGTGGTTTGGCTATCAACACTGCAAGCCTTCTTGAAACCAAAAGTAACTGACCATGGTTTACTTAGCCACGAGCACCTCCAGTCTCCTAGGGAGAGGTTTAAAATTGATAGGGCTGTAGCCCAGTGGTACAGCATCTGCTTTGTTTGCACACCAAAGATCCCAGGTTCAATCCCTGACATTGGGCTGAGAACATCTCCCCACCTGAAGAATGGCTGTCTGTCAGTGGAGACATTACAGAGCTCAACAGGCCACGTAATCACAGAAGAACTGTAGAATTGGAAGGGACCAGCCCCCTGTAATGCCTGCTTGGTGCTCGAACCCATGACCAAGAAATTAAGAGTCTCATGCGCTACTGACTGAGCTGTCCACAGGGCTTAAGACAGCTTCCTATTTATTTATTTTACTTACTTCATTTATATACCACCTTTTCCTCCAAGCTCAAGGTGGCCATACACAGAGTCCTCCTCCTCCCCATCTTATCCTCACAGCAAACCTGTGAAGTAAGTCAGGCTGATTTGAACCTTGACCTTCCAGTGCTCTAACCACTACACCACACTGCCTCTCATGTTCCTGTTCCGTATTTAGCAGTACAGTCGTTGCAGACAGTCCTGAGTGTGGGGACTCGATCTGCCTTTCAGTTTACAGATCTGCTTCAATTACAGGTTTTTTTTTAAAAAAAATTGTGGGGAAAGCAGCAGCAAAGTGAGACATAAGAGGTTAATTGAGCCTCTGACTTTGATGCCTGAGTGTCTGTGTGTACTCAAAATAAACCAGCCAGCTCTCTCCTCCTCCTCCTCTTCCCCTTCCCTTCCATTGTCTTTGAAGCACATGGCCTAGAGGCTGGATGCTAGTTAAATTTCATGGAACTATAAAGGGAGATGGGGGGGGGGGGAGAGAGAGAGAAGGAAGGAAGAAGAAAGTCAGAGAACAAAAGCTACGTACTTGAAATAATTAATCCAGGCTCATCCCAAGCAGGGCTCTGTTCCTTTTAATTAACCATTAGCCCTTCTACAAAAGCAGTCACCATCTGCTAGGCCTTCTGAACGAAGCGCTCCCCCCCCAAAAAAAAACTAAAACACTGTAATGAGGTTTTAAAGCGCTGTGCAAATGGTGTCCCCTCTGCAGCTGGGGCAATCTCACGACAATCTCTGCCCTCTCCATAAGGAGGGGAGGGGGGCTAAGAAAAGTCTGGGAGCAAACGCACTGTTTATTTTGGGAACCCGTTTTAGCAGAAGGAAAACAATGCCAGCCCATCATTCTTAGGGCAGACACTTTGGTAGCTTAAACAGATGCCTGTTTTAGAGGGGATAACTTAGCAACTGTTTAGCAATAGGTACATTTGGCATTCTTGGAATATGGCTGCTTTTAATTATGCCCTTGACTCAGTGCTTTAGTGTTTCAATTGTCATCCTGATATTGTGGTTTTGCTTTAGATTATCTTTTTAAAACGGTTGTAAGCTGCTTTGGGGACGGATATTTGCAGGAAAACAACACAACAACCAATAGCCAAGAGGAATGCAAGGAGTTGGACTAGATGATCATTGGGTCCCGTCCGACTCTACAATTCGATGATTCTATTAACTGGAAAAAAAGACAACGGTTTGTGTCTGTGTGGGGCAGGAATTAGAGCCTTAGGCTCCGATTCTACACATTTTCAATGGGGCTCACTCCTGAGCAAGCACACATAGGATTGCGTATGTCAAAGCAATGCATATAATGGAATTTGAAAGTAAATTACAGGCAGCCCTGTTGTCCCATGGGGGGGGGGAATACCCAAAAGTTAACAGCAGAGGAACCCCTCTATGAAGACCAACTAAAACGTCTCAAAGGAGTTAAGCAAGGACCCAACCATATTGGCAGCTCTTCTGAACTGAGCACATACCATAGATTTAAAGCGCAACCCTCTGCACACAAAGAATCATGGGAACTGTAGTTTACCCTTCAAAGAGCTCTTACCACGCTATAGTTCCCAGCATTCTCGTGTGGGGTTTTTTATTTTTAATGTATGGTGGAAAAAGGGACGACCTTTCGGCTTTTCGAGTCCGCGATGCTTTGGGGAGGGGCTGGACCTGACTCGGTGCCCTCAAGACGCTGTTTCCAAAGTAACAACAAAGAAGGGAGCCTTACCTCGGAGCGAAAGAATGCCCTCAATTTCTCCTCCCTCCCCTGCGAACCATCCCGGCAGGTTCCTTTTGGTCTCTTTAAAATCTGGGGAGTTTTTGTTTACAGACAGATTTTTTTTTTAAAAGATAAAATAAACAGGATCTGCATCTCCACCCGAAGACCGGACAATGAACTTGGCCGCCCGCAATGCCTGTGATTTGTTCGTTTTAAAGGAGCGGGGAGGTGAGGGGTTGGTTTTGGCCAGCCCGTTTCTCCATCATCATCACCACCACCACCCTGGGTCGGACAAGCTTACCGTTACACCACTGGAACGGGTGCATCAGAGTCCCCAGCTCAGCTGCTTGCAAAAAACACCCGAGGTGCAGAAGGAAAATAAATACATAAATAAATAAATAAATAAATAGATAGATAAAACAAAGCCCCCCCCCAAAGAGAAGCCCCCTCTCTCCGCCCCCAATGCTCAGTTCGATTGGGGCTCAACAGTTCAAGGAGGCAGTCTTCTCTTCCTGGATCAGCAGCATCAGTTGCAAGCCAAGGGCAGGGGAGGGGGGAAAAACCTGCACAAAGGGGCCAAGGGAGGCTGATTCCGACGAGCAGCGCGCACGCGACGGCCGGCCCCTCCGCGAAGCTCGTCAGCAGCGCTTTCCCGGGGAAAAGATTGTTTCTCGTTCTACCAGGTTTGGGGACCTGACCCCCGGGCACGGAGACACCGCCCCCGAAACCCCGCCCCCTCCAAGAAGCAGCCAATCGCCGCCGCCAGCGAGCGGGGCTTATTAGCATGCTTTCTTTTGATGTGAACCGGGAGATGCGCCGGGTGGGCTGCCTTTGGAAAGCGGTTGCAGCCTATGGCGCTGCGGGCTTCGAGAGAGACAGAGATCGACCCTCTTATTCCGCTGAAGGATTCCAAGCGTGAAGTTTAAATGGGACGGGATGGGCAGCAGTGGAGTTGTGGCTCTCAGATGTTGCTAGACTACAACTCCCATCATCCCCGAGCCCTAGCCATGCTAACTTTGTCTGATGGGAGTTGGGAGGGAGTTCATTTGGAGGGTCACAAGCTCCTGACTGCTGCTTTCTGGGTGTTTAGTTTTGGGTGGTTTTGTCTAGTTTTGTTCTGAAAAAATACAGGGCAGGGTGGAGCGGGGCGGTTGGTGGTCAATTTTCCGCCTCCGTCTGAAGTGACTTTAAGCAACCCATTACAATCTATTGCAGCCTAACAGAATGGCCCCTCTGGAATTGGTCGCACATGCATGTACACATAAATTTCTAAATCTGTCTGTGCTTGGCTACCCGTAGAGCTTAAATACACGACCTTTCACAGACCCTTTCAACACATGCATTTGGAGAAGATCCTTAATCTGGCACACACACACACACACACACACAGAGGAAGAGAAGAAAAGAAGAAGAAGAGTTTGGATTTGATATCCCGCTTTATCACTACCCTGTTGTTGTTGTTGTTTAGTCGTTTAGTTGTGTCCGACTCTTCGTGACCCCATGGACCAGAGCACGCCAGGCACTCCTGTCTTCCACCGCCTCCCGCAGTTTGGTCAGGCTCATGTTTGTAGCTTCGAGAACACTATCCAACCATCTCATCCTCTGTCGTCCCCTTCTCCTTGTGCCCTCCATCTTTCCCAACATCAGGGTCTTTTCCAGGGAAAACTACCCTAAGGAGTCTCAAAACGGCTAACATTCTCCTTTCCCTTCCTCCCCCACAACAAACACTCTGTAAGGTGAGTGAGGCTCAGAGACCTCAGAGAAGTGTGACTGGCCCAAGGTCACCCAGCAGCTGCAAGTGGAGGAGTGGAGACGTGAACACGGTTCACCAGATTACGAGACTACCGCTCTTAACCACTACACCACACTGCCTCTCACTCAGAGAGAGAAATACAGGACAAAAGTGCATCAATACAGGACATAGCATTTTACACCGAAATACAGGACAATCCTCTATTATACAGGATAGGTGGATGATGCTCAGTGCTCAGATTTCAGCGGGCTGAGCCGCAGCTTTTAGAAGACTAGCCGTCCCACCAGCTGTAAGCCTGAGTGAGGATTTGAATCCAGATCTCTCCAGGACTAATCTGGCACCCTAGCCACATTACCCTATATGGCTTTCATGGCTTTCATTGGCTAGCTAGGTAACTTTTCACTCAACAGGTGAAACACAGTACAAATAGTTTAGATGGCCTGAAGGAGTACAGATTTACGATGGTTGGACCTTAACGTCATGAAGTGGGCTACCAATGCAATTTAAAAAGAAAAAGGTATTTGAACATTGAACAAATGGAGGGCATGGAATGAACTGTTCTGGGAAAAGGAGATGACTGGCTGGCCCTCTGAACAGGAGCATTCCACGCTGCAACCTTTTTGTTGCAGGGACCACTTGTAGAGACCAAGCACTCACTGAAAATGTTGGGACTGTTCTGGCCTTGCACTTTCATCTGGACTGAATGGCTAATCCGGTCACATAAATTCACCCTCGTGCTCTGCACCTTCTTGATCCCAGCTTTAGCAAACAATGGAATTGCATCTGATAAGCAGTAGAATAACGCACTAGGAAGGCCATGCAATGAGGCTATAAAACAAGGTGAGGCACCTCAGAGATATAGCCCAGTCTCATCCATCGTTCTCCAGTTGTTACCAAATCCTTCCACTCGGCATCGTACCTTCTAACCGCGCAGCACCTGTTTTGTCACACTGGGTAGTGCCAGTTGCTGTGTCTCAAACAATCCCTTCTATTTCCCCAATTCAAGGGTGAGTGGCAATGCTTCTGTAGCCAAAACAGTACCTCCCACATGGAAGCAGGTTGTAATCAAAAAGATCTGGGGGAAGCTCAACATTTGCAGAAGTGCATAATCTTTCTTTAAAAGAAAACAACTGTGCATACAGCACTTTGTGCTTATATGCAGAACAGGAGCGTGCTGTTGTTCTGCTGTTGAGCTTCCCAAAGGCCAGTGAGAAATGGACAAGGCAGCAGGACTCTTACGTTCTTAAAGAACAAAAGCCAAGCAAAGCCAGTGCTTGACCTGCTCTTTCGCGAATCCCCAGCTGCCCCTTTTCAGGTGGAAAGGCTTTCCCACTCTGGGCTGCTTCCTCACCTTCAAAGCAGGCTTTGAAGGTGCCAATCAGGCTGGCTGGCAGCCACTCTCTCCGACACCTCCCAAGGCTCCAAGCTAAGGACGCGGGTGGCGCTGTGGGTAAAACCTCAGCGCCTAGGGCTTGCCGATCGCATGGTCGGCGGTTCGAATCCCCACGGCAGGGTGCGCTCCCGTCTTTCGGTCCCAGCTCCTGCCCACCTAGCAGTTCGAAAGCACCCCTAAGTGCAAGTAGATAAATAGGTACCGCTTTCTAGCGGGAAGGTAAACGGCGTTTCCGTGTGCTGCGCTGGTGCTGGCTCGCCAGAGCAGCTTTGTCACGCTGGCCACGTGACCCGGAAGTGTCTCCGGACAGCGCTGGCCCCTGGCCTCTTAAGTGAGATGGGCGCACAACCCTAGAGTCGGACACGACTGGCCCGTACGGGCAGGGGTACCTTTACCTTTACCTTTAAGGAAAAACTGGTGGGAGGAAAGGCAGTAGACAGAAACTGACATCCAGCATCATTCTGTTGCAAGTCCTCATATTTTCCCCCCTAATTTTTAAAAATTCATTTTATAACACAAATAAACAACACAAATAGAAAAACAAACAATACAAACAAATTCTTGTCTTATTCTTATTTTTTCTAAACATTGTTAGCTGGGCTTTCCCAAGTCCCCCCCTATCTGATTTTCATTTTACCTCATCTTTAGCAGTTTACATATATCATAATTTCTAACCAATTTTTTTTATCACGCTTACTTTTACCATAAAAATCTTCACATTTTATCACTTACAAATGATACTATTTTAGAATACACTATCTTCTACTTCTAACCCTGCAGCCTATATCCACTTCCAAAGCTATTCTAAGATTTAAATATTAACATATTTTTTTCAAATATTCATTGAACTTCTTCCAATCTTCTTCCACCGTCTCTTCTGTCTGGTCTCGGAGTCTCCCAGTCAGTTCGGCAAGTTCCGTATCACCTTCATCTGCCATTCTTTGATAGTTGGTAAATCTTGTTTCTTCCATGTTGCAAGTCCTCATAAGAACATAAACAAAATCTGCAGGATCAGTCCAGTGGCCCAACTAGTCCAGCATCACAGTGACCAGTCAGATGCCCATGGGAAGCTCAAAAGCATGACTTGAGCAGAGCACAGCTGCAGTCTCCCCTTGTGATGTTTTCAGCAATTGGTATTCAGAAGAATATGGCCTTCGACAGCCTTGCCTATGTTTTGGAAATAGATCAAGCTGCAGCAAGATGCTACCTAGCTCCATCGACAATAAATAAAGATTGCAGGGTTAGGTATTGCAAGCATGCTGGAAGAGGTGTGGGAATAGATGAACTTATTTCTGCATGTATTGGGACTGCCCCTTTTGAGAAAATGCCGTTTCAGATATCTTTCTCCGTTATATCAGGAGACAGACACCTATTCTTGAAATACATATCAAAGACTTTGATTTGCGAGCATCTTGATATTAATTCAAATTACGCTGCTGATTGCAAAGGTTTGCCTGGCTAAACTTTGGAAAGGTGAAAACATTCCAACAATAAAAAATGGATTATGTAAGTGCAGTATTGCAGTCTACAGTATGTGAAATCTCCAATTGCTGGTGGTTTACGGTATACATCACATTATAAACTGGTGTGATTTATAGTTTGGAAAATACTGCTGAATGAATGGATAACTGGGGATAACTGATAAAAGGGGGGTGTTATTGGGTTGTTGTTTTTATTTTGATTATATATTGTGGTTTTATATTTTGATTTTGTTCTGTGAACCTCCCTGCGACCTCTGGGTATAGGGCAGTATACAAATTCAATACATAAATAAAAATGAATTACTATGTTGCAAAGTTGCAAGGTGGTCTTATTTTATAACGCGCTGGAAAGTATTGTCTGGATCTCTAAAAATTCAAATTAAAAATTATTACTAACTTTCTTACTTTGGTGCTAAATGTAATATATACCGACAATAGAGTTTTCAAGTATTCTAAGAAGTACGGCATTTGAAAGCTCAGTGTGGATGTCATTATGTCCTCGATACATGATTGCAGTTGCTTACTTGTTGACCTTAGGTCAGTCACGGTCTCTTAGGCAAAATTACCTCGCAGGGTTGTTGGCAGGATAAAATGGGGAGGGGAGGACCGTGGATGCCATCTTGAGTTCCTTGGAGGGAAAAAAGGATATAAATGTGAAATATACTTGGAGTCTAGTGTGAATTTCATGCTCTTTATTCAGCTCATAGTAGCAATGAATGAAACTTTCCCCAAAACATCTAGCTATACGGTACACAATGGGCCCCGCGTGATTGGCTAATTCCGGGCTGCTCCTGTAGGCCAATCAGGTTGCGGATTCACCTCCTCTGGAAGCCTGATTAGCTGCTCCTGCAGGCCAATCAGGTTAGTAATTCACTTCACCCAGGAGCCTGATTGGCTGCTCCTGCAGGCCAATCAGGTTGCTGATTCACTTCCACCTGGAGCTGGATTGGGTGGCTCCTGTGGACCAATCAGACTGCTGCATTCTGGATCCTATTCTAGGATTCAGCTCAGTACATAACAAAATGTAACAAACAACCATGAAATATACTCAGAGTCAAGAGTGGAT